GATTGTACAAGACGAACGTGACACTGGCACAAAAGGGCTTGAGTGGGTGCACAGCAAGAACAAGCAGGGAGAAACACGAGTACGAGAGCAAAAGCCGTAGGGGCTTTAGACAAAGGAAAACGAAAACAAAACAAAGGAGGGTTGCCACGTAGCGTGACAACAAACAAGCCAAGAGCAAAGGATACTGCTAAGAGCAATGCAACACTGCGGAGCAATGTAATTTGGGATGAGGTGGGAGAAGTGGTGAAAGACATGCGACAAGGCTCGGTCACGAAAGACGTGTGAAAAGAGTAGTAAAGAAGTGGGACAGAAAAGCACTGTCGACAGAGTCGACAAGTGCTTACAGCAGCACTGCACAATCGCATGCAAGTGTGTTTGCAATGGGTAGAGGGATGTAATGGAGTGAATCCAAAGCAAGTAAGAGAAACTACCAATGCTTGCGAGCAACACAGCAGCACTGCACAATCGCATGCGAGTGTGTCTGCAGCGAGCAGAGGATTGCTACTCATTCAATCCACTTTAATCAGAAACACGTTCCCGTGCCTGCAGGCAACATCTACACACAAACGCATGCATACACACATGCAAACGTGTCCCTTGCGCTGCTCCTCGTCGTTCTCTGCGTGCTTGCTTGTCTCTTGTCCAATCACATGGAAACGAATCCATCCTTGCTTCTCTACTCCGCAGTTCCTCTGCTGTGCTCCTTCTTGCTTCAGTGCAGCGTGCCTGCAGGCAAGTAGAAGTGCATACAGCGCAGTGTGCTCGCGTGCACGTGTGCCTGCAAGCCAGCTACGTGGTCGTGTGCCTGTTGCTGCAGCGCATAGCATGGTACAGTGACGTTTGCTCGTTTGCTCACTTGATCACCGGAGTAGGGAGACTGGCGCGGTGAAGTCAAAAAGGGGGTGCAGAAAAAGTGCGATCATGTGACACAAAAAAAGCCCAAAGCTGTGACGAGTAGTGTCTGAACACTGCATCGCGATGCACCAGTGCAGCTGTGCAGCATGCAGCGTACGCAAGCGAAGCAAATTGCATGCAAGCATTGGTTGGTCACGGGCCAGGGGAATCTGGGGTGTGAACAATGTGAAGAATCTTGATGCAGTGAAGCTGTGCGTACTTGCTAGATCCAGTCACAAATCTAGATCTAGCAGATTCACTGAATCTAGATTGCGGTGCTTGCAGGCAAAGTGCACGAGGGCAAAGCAGTGATTCAAACAGCTGCCGCTCGATGGATTGGCATACATGAGAGGAAGGATGCAAATGAGCAAGACAAAAAAAAAAGGAAAAGAGAAGGCAAAGGCAAAGAGCCGCTGAGTAGAGGCGCAAGCATGAGAGCAAGGCGATTGTCGCTGAGCAGGATTGCTTGCGGGCACGAAAAGCCGCGTCTGCGCCCTTGCATACAACTTCTCTTTCTTCTTGGGTCTTTGTTCTCCTGTGTTCTGAGCGACCTCTCTCTTCATGTGTGTGTGTGTAGTGTGTAGTGTGTGAGTGCAGGCAGAGCGAAGCGACACTCTTATGTGTGTTGTGAGCAATGCTTGCACGAGCACGCATGCATGCACGGCACATGCAATGAGAACAGCACGGGCGTGTGTCTGTGTGTGGATGCTTGTGTGTGTAGTGTGATGCGTGAGCGATGTGTGTGGGTGTGATGAGGCACATGCGGGGAGGCGAGCAAGCGATTGTTCGTGTCTCTGTGTGTGTTCTTGTGATCACTCGCATCATGAGCAAACGCATCTCCACTACACAGAAGCAAAAGCAACACACGACATATGCGCTTGTGGCGAGCAACGACTGTGTTTGCGGAAAGAGGGCGAGCTGATTGTTCAGCTTCCTCTGAGTGTGACAGTGTGAAGCGCTGGTCATCCTCCTCACACGAACACGCATTGTTGGCTCTTGATTGTTCTTCCCTCCTCACAATGATGTGACGCAGCGAGACGCAGGAAGCAAGCCTGCACGCATGGTGCATTGAGACCTGGGCACAGCGATGTGCCTGGCGCGTAGATGACGTGTGTGCGCATGAATGGGCTTGCATCTTCCTTGTGTGTGTAGCTGTGCGTTGGGAGAAGGGCGATGTGCCAACGTGTGTTTGTGTGTGGGGGAATGGCTGGCAGTTGCTTCGCTGCACACGTGGATGTGGCACAGTAAAACAGAAAATGTTGTCAGCTGTGTGTTGTGGGTGTGGCTGTGGTTGCCTTTGGAGGCAAGACGCAGCCCGCTGTGACATGCGGGTCGATGAAGTATTGCGCGCGAGAGCAAGCAAAGCTTTGCATGGATTGCTGGTGTTGAGCCAAAAGTCTATGATGTTGAAGCAAGTTGCAAGCCGCTGGCGGAGTGACGGCAAGGCACATGTATGTGTGTATATCTGCTGTGATCTCTGATAGAGGGTGGGCGCTGTCTGTTTGCTGTTTTTGAATAGCGGCAGGTGGCGACTGTCCTTGATGACACCAAGCTTGCGCATGCAGGAGGCAATCCCGCCGTGATCGCGGTGTGGATTGTTCTTCTTGAGAGGGTGCCTTGAGCAACACTCTATCATGAGTGGAGGCAAACTGTGCTGTGAGCACGATGATGATGTTGGGCATGCACACATGCGTGGATGAAGTACATTTGATGCGAAACAGTGTTGTGTGTTGTTTCGAAAGAGAGCCATGCGCACTGCATGCTGCTGATGGGCACGTGCTGCCATTGTATTTGTGTGTGCTGTGTTGTTATGTGTTGTGTGAGCAACGTTGCGTTGTTTGCACACACAAACATGCGCATGCATGCACAAACTACAATGGTGGTGTGTGCTTTGTTGGCAGAGCAGGTTGTTGTCACTGGCACTCGCTGAGAACAGCACACACATTGTGTATTTGCATTGAATGACACTGCTTCATCCACACACCTTTGTGTGTGTGTGTCTGGGGTTGTTGTTGTGTGCATAGCCACAAGAACAAAACCAAAAAAGCAAAACAGAACGACCCGAGTGGCACGTGCAGCGATGTGCGTGCTGCTTGTGGAAGCTTTGTTTGTTGGGGTGCAAGCGGAGTGAGTGAGTGAACAACTGAGGGGAAGAAGGGGAAGATGCATAGCAATCATCGCATTGTTGTGTGTGTTTCTCTCCCTCTTCCCCTTTGCTTGTGTTTCTCTTAGGGTTATAGGCGGTCCCCGACCCATGAAAAAGGGGTACCCAACCTTTTGCTACTTTACTTCTAATATGTTGTAAGGCATGTATAGACGCATAGCACTGTTAGCTCGGAATCCTAGAAAGGCTTTTACTTTTCGAGTTATGACCCCCACAAGGTCAGGTGAGATAAGCCCACATTTTCCTCTAGGAAGGGTTTTGGGTTATCTTAGGGTTA